ATATATATACAAATTTATATATATAGGATATATTATATACGGTATATACCTATTCTTGTATATATCGAACTCGGTAGATCAAAACTGTCCAAATCAGTAATATATTTTTGCCGTGTACACAGTGGCACTTACGATTATCATGATCATACTATACAGTGGTGGTGGAGGTTATGACTGGATGCAGCACGTTAGACCCTCAGATGATCCCAAAGTTTGGGAAAACTTGCGACATATTGTGAGAGCGTTCAAAGCGGACTCTGAGTCTACCTCGCTAGTTGAGTTGGCTAGTGGAGTAGAGAAAAGAACATTTAAAAAGGTATAGTAGTCGGTGTATTTCGGGTGGAAGTTGAAAACCAGTATGTATGCATATCTGCCAATGGCACGATGAAGAGTGAAGACTTATATTTTGCATTACACAGGTATACGGCTCACATACGATAGAAATTTTGGGATGGATTTTATGTGGGCGTGTACGTATTTTAATCGTATCGTGTGCTTGTGTATGGTCATCATGGAAAGTCATGCATAAATTCATGAGAGTGGCCGTGTAGTATCTGCATGCTAGTGCCTACTTCTCTACTACCGTAATCCTGTGTGTAGTCAGTCAGTAATATTACGACCTACATGTATGTGTCCGTATGCATTTATGTGATAAATGTAATTTTCCGGACATGTGTTGCATATATATGCACAAGGAGTCATCACTAAAATGTGGTTGTCCACATGGTGCCTTTGAGCGGTGTTTCCAACTGCCATTGTCTCCTCGATTGCCGCAAAGATAGATATTGGCATGACCGCAGTCGTAAAATCAGTATGAGGTGAGGCGATGTGGGTTTGGGATGATGTATACGATCCTCAATCCTATACTTCTTTCCGCCTGGTGGTGAATGTTGGTTGCTATGGGCTGTGATTTAAACTTGTTTGTGTACATGAATATCCATGTTCGATATCTTGTACATCCATATGGACAAACCCTCAAATGTTGTTCTTCTGCCTGACCGAAGATAGAGAAGTCTGTAGCGAGGAAGTACATCTGAAGATTGTACCTAGACTATATTAATGAATGCCTTATATTCAATAATATCTACGCTGCGTTTCTGGCTTTTTAGATCTGCCTAGAGGAATGTGTGGGGTTCTCTGAAAAAAGCTCTGTTCTACTCCGACCCTCTGCCGAAGCTCTGAGCCTTGACCTCCTCGGTGCAGGTAAATTGAAATTCCTCTCCGGTGTGCTTGTGCCTTGACTGACAATAGATCGAACTTTATTTGTCTGGAATATATCGAAATGCTGGCACGTCTGGCATCCGCACTATTGGCGTTTAGTTATTCGAATCACTCGTTGCATGAGACGCCTTTCTACACGTGTATGTAAACTGTTGTGTATTGAAATATGACTTGTTTTATGCGTTTGACTGTGGACCTTGTCTTATGTTTTACTCCGATGACAGATAGGATTTGAATTTCAGTGTGCGAACTACGTGAGTTCCCAATACATTTTTTTTGTAAAAAATAAGCTTGTCAGCTCTCGCAACCCACTACAAGTGTACTTAGCTTCCTCAGCGTGCATGTGGTATCAATAGTCAAGTACAATACAATCTAATCATTTGCCCTCTTGCGCGGTACGGAAAGTCATTGTGACCCCACTGACTAGTTCGTGGATTGAAACGATCTATAGTTCATCACTCGAAGTAATAGGGGGAGAACGGTATAGCAGAATGGGTTCATCGGTTAGTACGTTACTTTCAGGACTGGGCCCAGCTAGCCTTGAAGGTCATCAAAATGGTGTCTACCTGCTCATGTGACTCACACATTAATATAGTATATTTCACTTCGTATTGACTAGTATGACTTCCTGTGTATATCACATAATCACACATAAATATAGTATACTTCACTTTGTATTCATTAGTATGACTTCCTGTGCATATCCTTCAACTCCAGTCACCGTACTCTTGAAGGCGAACGGGGGCCAAGCACAAACCAATTATCTGTACCGGATGTTGACTGAGGAGTACCCGCACACTTTGGCCGAGGTGAAGGAGAAATCCATACGCAATGGTTCTGGAGCCAAGAACTTAGGAACTCACCTATCTGCCGTGGGGAACCATCTGTACGATACCCGTAAGTACATGTGTGTGTGCGAGGCTGTGTGTATTTTCGAACATTGATAGGTTTTGCCCGTGTGTACATGATGGGCATGCGCCATACTATGGCAGCGTCCAGCAGAATTTGCCCGCCTTAGGTGCCCACTTATATACAACTTAGCTTGCCAGTATGTTTATCCAATGCTCGTTGTCGTCTCCCATTTTTCTCTCTGTTCGATATATTACACGGTCCAGGTATGTCGGGTTTTTCGTGCCAACAGTTGTTTTTAGGAGATAGTGACTAGTGGATTCGTAGACGTCAATCGCAAGAGTACTGATAAGTTTTACTATATACTGCACTGTATAAGGCAATTGTTTATTCGCTCTGGTGTGTGTTGCCACGCACAGTTGCCTATATGAAGAGGTTGGCGGTTTTCCGCTGGGATAGCTATTACTTCGGATTCTGTAGATCTGAGATAGAGCTTTGGGGTTTTATTAATATCTGCGGTTTGAGTATAGACCTGCACATAAATACACGTTCACGTGAACGAATTTCGAGCTATCATTTATAGTAGCAACATGCTTTCGGTCTATCACCCAGATATAAGTAAAGGTAAAGCGGTCAGTTTTACTTTGAGAGAATACCAACCAGCCGATGGTGAGGCTCCCCCCTCACCCGTCCCAGCATTCTATGCTGAACCGAAGTTAAATATGGATGTGATAGCCAAGACTCTAGGAGACGTCAGAGAAGCGCTGAAAGGAGTCTCGCGCAAACAGTCAATGCACACACTGCTGGACGGGTCACCCTGGGTAGGTTAAACAGAGCAACGGGTGTATATTTTGAATATGCAAACGAATTACATGCCTGATGACACATATGTAAATGTGGTTATCCATAGGTCTGGGTATCGAATGGAGTCTATAGCTTGGATTTATGTGGGACATGTGTTTTACGTAGTTGTGCGTGAGTGTCGATGCGTATATGGAAGTACCGTATGGGTCTGTGTATCGAATGGAGTCTACAGCTTGGATTTGTGTGGGGCATATGTTTTACGTAGTTGTGCGTAAGTTTCTATGCGTATATGGAAGTACCTTATGGGTCTGTGTATCAAATGGAGTCTATAGCTTGGATTTGTGTGCATATGTTTCACGTAGTTGTGCGTGAGTGTTTATGCGTATATGGAAGTACCTTATGGGTCGGTGTATCGAATGGAGTCTATAGCTTGGATTTGTGTGGGGCATCTGTTTCACGTAGTTGTGCGTGAGTGTTTATGCGTATATGTATGTACCGTATGGGTCTGTGTATCGAATGGAGTCTGTAGCTTGGATTTGTGTGGGGCATATGTTGTACGTGGTTATTCGTGAGTTTTATGCGTATATTGAAGTACCATATGGGTCTGTGTATCGAATGGAGTCTATAACTTGGATTTGTGTGGGGCATATTATTTAAGTAGTTGTGCGTGAGTGTCTATGCATATATGGAAGTACCGTATGTGTCTGTGCATCGAATGGAGTCTATAGCTTGGATTGGTGTGGGGCATATGTTCTACGTAGTTGTGCGTGAGTGTCTATGCGTGTATGGAAGTACCGTATTGGTCTTGTATCGAATGGAGTCTATACAGTCGTTCTGTGAGTTTGAGTGTACTCGATGTGACATACAACCAAAGATAATAGGGTAACTTCGAACTCTCTCACGGAGAGCATCAGCTGTGAGACTTGCGTAGGAGTCTGAAGCGCATGCTGTCCTTTCCATTGTCTGGGTATTACATGCGCATGAGTTTATTGGCTACGGTTGAGTATTATAGATACTTTCGGACATCGTCTCTCATTATTCTGTTTAGATATTTGAGCCGTCAGTGGCATAACGTTTTACGGGGCTGTGAGCCTGGTCTCAAAATTAGTTTACTGTTTACTACTTGAATGAACTCGTTAGTATAGGCAGTCGGAGCTCATGCCCATGACGTTGTAGTGAGTGCCGTCGAGTTCTTCTCTCTGATATCATTGACTCATACGCGGGCTATATTTGGATCCCATGTGAGTGCTTGATGTCGGTGCAGATGCATACGAGACGCTGTAGGTCAGGCTGAATCACATCAACAGCAATAGTGTGGTGGTGGAGTAGAGTGGGTACAATACGCTTATAGAATACTGTCAATGTGCAGAACAATTCGTATCCGGTAAGATAAGTTTAGCCTCGTGCCACTCCCTGCCAGTATGAATTATATTACAAAGTGTAGAGGCACTCAGCTATGTGTATATAGATACAACAGACACGTACACATGCACACACACGCACACATCACTATATGCATATACATAGTTATACGTATCTTCAACTATCGCCATGTCCTCATATTTATACTGTGCACACTTATGGCCATGTCTGCCACACGTCTTCATCTATGTACTTCCAAAACCGTGACTACAATACCACATTTATTTACATAGTCAGGGCGGGTTCAATACGACGGATGGCTGCAACAAGCGCAGACAAGAATCCGTGAAAGTCAGGCAGGTGCATTGTATGGGACTATGCTGTCTCAAAGAGAACGCCTGCCAGCCTACGCGCATCGCAGTCACATTCTCGCCACACTGCTCAGTAACAGAGTCACCGTAGTGCTAGGCGCCACCGGGTATGTTGCGTCAAAAGGATGGCGGGTATGAGGTGTTGTATTCAGATATTATGCTCACTTGTCAACAACTCACGTCTTACGGTATCAAGTAAGCTGTGCCGTGTTCATTCAAGTGTGTGTATGGAGTGCACGTGCAGTGGCGTGTGGTGCATTTGCACCGGTCACAGTTGATTCACCCTGCGCAGTACTAGTCTACGCAACTACAGTAGGTGTAGTTGATGGTTTATAATTTGTACCGATGAATGCCATAGGTATATATTTGGAGGTATTTATTTTTAGTAGTCCTGTAACCAATATGTATTGTGTGCTGAAGGTGTACCCGTAAATCAATTGTCAATGGGATATACGTGGCCACTGAGTACGTTGTGCCCTATGCCGAAGTGTATATAAACCGTCAGCTATATTATTATTCACGATACTCACCAGTCGAGTGACTGTAATAATGGGTGTGATCAGGCATGTTGTCTTATTTTCAGGTATGTGTATACAGCACTTCTTGTGTGTTCGCCGTGGTCTGGCACACGTCTTAGGAATAGAGCTTCCGTGGCGGTAGTTTGACTTTGAGTATGATTACATAGCATGTGTATGTATGTGTATGGTAGCTGCAGGCCGATGACGTACACCTTCCTTAGCAACAGACCTAGTTGTCATTCGTACTCAGCTGCGGGACGTTTTATGGCGCTTTCAGTGTTGTACTCGATAAACATTTTGCTCATGCGAATGTCACCTGTCTCCGACACCCAGAACTGAATCTCTTAGTACGTTGAATACACAATAACGAGCTATTGGCATCATACATACACAGACATCGCACACCAATACATGGACGATTAAAATTATGCATGCTCACAGATGCGGAAAGACTACTCAGATACCACAGCTGCTGCTGGATGAGATGATACTCGAGCGAAACGAAGACGTGCGCATAGTGTGCACACAACCTCGCCGCATCAGTGCCGTCAGTGTTGCTGAGAGAGTGGCAGACGAGCGTGCTGAACGTATAGGAGGCTTTGTAGGGTACCAAATAAGGTATGTTAGTCAGGCCTTGCTAAATCTGAGTGTTTTGAGGTCCACATCCAACGTTCGAGTCACTGCGATAGTGACACTTTTCCAACGGTCCCTTCAGAACTCGCTGGTGAAGATATCCCAATAGTCTCATTCGTTTGTTTGGCCGATACAAATTGGCGTACTTTCTATCAGATTCGAAAAGGAAGTCACGGAGTCGACCCGGTTGCTCTACTGTACGATAGGTGTGCTGCTGCAACAGCTTCAATCGGACGCGAACTTGAGTGCGTACACGCATGTCTTTATAGACGAGGTACGTATTGCTTCATTCAGAAAATCAATTTGTATGCGTGTGTAATGCTGGTGCCGAGTACAATCATATGTGGAATTTGGTATCACCTGTGCTTATTTAGTGCTCAAGCTCGTTGGTCTCGTGCACTCGGATCGGAATGTGCAAATTGAAATGAACCAATAAGCATGTGACCTGAAATATGAAGCAAAGGACCGAGAGCACTATGCCAGATGGCAGAGAGTATGCTGGCGGAACGTATAAGATGCAGAGCAAACAAGTGGGCTACGCTGTGTCACACAATTATGATACATTAACATGTTTTCTTTGTGTACAGCGCAATTCTGCTGTCAGCTAATACCACTGCAACTCGAGTGTCTAGAACAGGAAGCAAGCCGCCGCACCAGAACACACATTTCACTTCGAGCATCCCGTTTTATCCCGCTATATCCACTTCTTGATTCCTAATAGGTGCATAAGAAAGCATCCCGATTTATCCCGCTCTATCCACTTCTTGATTCCTAATAGGTGCATGAGAAAGCATCCCGATTTATCCCGCTATATCCACTTCTTGATTCCTAATAGGTGCATGAGAAAGCATCCCGAGTTATCCCGCTATATCCACTTCTTGATTCCTAATAGGTGCATGAGAGAGAGATGAGTTCAGACTTTCTCATGCTGTGCCTCCGAGACATCCTCAGACAACGGCCACAGCTGAACGTGGTTCTCATGTCGGCCACGCTTGATCCGACAATCTTTGAAACTTATTTCAGCGAATTCAACCCGGCTACTCTCCAGATTCCCGGTATAGTACTTGGAGAATTCCGCTCCTACTGTATCTTGAACGCTAATTTGTATAAAGACGCGACGGTGTTATATGATTGATGTGTCGATGTGTGCTGTGTACACAGAGAGCTACTGTGGGTGTGGTAGTTATGTGTGATCTTCGTGTGAAGTGCTACAATAGTTCTGTGTGGCAGCCTATACGGAGGAAACCCCATTTTAAACCTTAATTTGCTATCGCGTATACCAAAAAATATTGTTGCAGTGCGAATACTCAAACGTTTCAAACGTTTATTATGGTATATATGACCAAAGCAGCCTTTAAAGACAGGACAAGTGTTAGTTTTAATGCATACTGCACTGAGTGAGAGCTGAGCGCTTCCGACGCGGATTTATTACTACACGCGAATCGCCAGAGTAGCAATCGATTCCCGTTTATAATAACTCTAATGACCGGATTTGCACACATCGGGGTCATAGGAAAAATAGAAAGCTGCCAAAATATAACTTATATTACAACATCTAAAAGGAGACTGATCAAATCCAAACTGTGGCCGCCGTTCATTGACAGCGTGTCTCGGAAGTTTAGGACACATTTGCATCCTGATATCATGTCACACGCTTGGCTTGTGTACTACTATTCAGGCCTGGATTGTATCGTATGACAAAGTTTTGAAAACTGTCTACTTGGTTTACAGAGCAGGAGTTTCTCTGGGCTTTCTAATATGTCTGCGTACCTTGTACCATAATTCTCATTCGATCCAAACTGGTTTGCTTTTGGACCTCAGGGAAAACCAACTATCCCATTGACGAGCACTTCTTGGAGGATGTGTTGGCTGCGTCTAATCATCATATTGAGGTGCTGCGTGATAGGTATGTACGTGCCACCAATATACGTCTATTATCTCTAAGTGTGCTTCTGGGTCGTGTTGCCTGTCTTTGAGAACTCTATCCAGGCATGCATAGAGCACATTTGTATATTTCCAGAAGTCATGGTCGGCTCTGGTGTAACGAATTCGATTTATTGTTCAGATTTTCAATCCCAATTATGTCGTACTGTACTTCCCTCGTCAGTCGTGGCAGCGAAAGATGATTAATTCTTCCAAGATTTATTGTAGACGTTAGATGGGATGCGCACGCACCCTTGTACACGCACGCGTGACTTCGACGAGTACCTTGATAGTGGTCCATAAATATTATCACGCCGTATCCAGCGCCAGTTCAGATAGCCCAAGTTCTGATACGTATCTATGAGTTAGTCTCCATGCGACGGCTCGCCAATCAATTTCTGTGCACTTTGCGCTGTGTTTGTGTTGGATCTGTAGTTTGGAGATAGACTATTTCAACCTACAACGACCAATCAGTCGCCCTCATGATCTTCCACTGCCTACGGATCTTAAAGCTCTCCAAACAACCCGAACTCAATTATCTGTCCCCGTTCCAATGCACAAATAGCATCGGTTGTATAGTACTGGAAATAGCTTCACTCCTAAACATCGAATGAGACGTAGAAAAGAATTACATCTACCTTCACTCCTAAACAGATAAAGAAGTTGCTTATATACGGCACATACATGTATTCCCAGCTATTCCCGCACGAGTATATTTCACTTAACAGAACAAGAACAAGAATACGAGATTGACACACGGTAATACGCATTGGACCTACATATGTACATCTTCAGAGTCAATAGCACTACAGCTGCATACATTCACCATCACACCAACAAACACAAACAATGCATAGGAACGCATCCACAGAAGAAACCCAAACTGTATCTATTGACATCTCAACCGATACAGTACAGTTATATGCACATACAAATTGATGACGCACGCACCTCTCTACATTTGCACCCGCATGCGCATTAACTTGTCCATCCTCTTCGTCGATCTCCGGGAGCGCCGCGCTGCCGTATGACTCAAACGATACACCCACACCATCGCCTACTAGTACTGTGCGCCTATCCACACACGTGTACCTGGAGAGTATGGCCTATCCTCACGTATACCTGTATAGTATGGCAATCTCGTCCCTCAGCACTCACATTATCACGTACTAACGTTGTGCACCTAACAACACCAGCCGCGGCAACATACTGACCGAGAAAGAAGACCCCGAAACCCCACGCTTAACGAAACAAGAGATTCAGGCCAGGCTGCAATGCAAGCCGCATGTGGCCCAGAGCATCTTCAATCTGGAAAGCAGCCCATTCGCCACCACGAACGCTGAGCTGGTCGCATCCACGGTCGCCTTCATACACCGCACTCGACCACCTGGAGCCATGCTAGTGTTCCTGCCGGGCTACAAAGAAATCAGTGAGTAGCGGTTGGACATGGATAGAATAGAGTTGTGAGTACCACGTTGTGTGAGGGTGTACGTGTGCACATGCTTATATTCGATGCACGTTGTGTGAGGGTGTACTTATGCACATGTTTATATTCGATGCACGTTGTGTGAGGGTATACGTGGGCACACGCTTATATTCGATGCACGTTGTGTGAGGGTATACGTGGGCACATGCTTATGTTCGATGCACGTTGTGTGAGGGTGTACGTGTGCACATGCTTATATTCGATGCACGTTTCCGTGCAAACGTGTCCTGTCGTGTGTAGTCTAGGATCGTGACCAGTTCACGGAGTATATGTTTTCGAATGCCTAAGCGGCGTATTTCGCTGCTTTGCAAATTCTCGTCCATTACGTTGTTGTACAACATCGAGACATACCATATGCGTATATAAATGTCTGTGAAGTTGTGTGAGTTTGTGTATACGCCAAGTATAGATATACATCGAGACATACCATATGCGTATATAAATGTCTGTGAAGTTGTGTGAGTGTGTGTATACGCCAAGTATAGATATATACTACATAGAGGTATGCGTATATAAATATCTGTGAAGTTGTGTGAGTGTGTGTCTATGCCAAGTATATGCATATACTACATATAGATATGCGTATATAAATGTCTGTGAAGTTGTGTGTGTATGTATACGCCCAAGTACAGACATATACAACATATAGGTATATCTAATTTGCGGTTATACGTGCCATCGATCGTTTTCGAAGGGCTGTTATATTCACCCAATCTAACCATACCTTTTCTTATATCCATGGCTTTTACGTCTCATTCAGCCGATGTAAAGGCTCTGCTAGAGAAAGATCAGAGTATGTGGGTCTTGCCGTTATACTCGTTGCTGCCGGTGCCAGATCAGAAGTTAGTATTTCAGTCACCCCCGCCAAATCGCACCAAGGTTATTCTCAGCACAAATCTAGGTAAGGAAAGCCATGCTCTCGTCGACGCTCCAGATGTGATGTTGTGCTTGCGTGATGTTTGACTGATAAAGTGCACAAGTCAACACGAGTTCTGTGGAAAGCTGCTTGGATGCCATACACTTTCTATGTGTACTAATATTTCTTGCTGTAGAATATATTATCCCGAATTCTACCACACGTGAGAATACACACCAAAATATTTATGGTACAAATTCGATCCAGTCGTTACATATTATAAACTGCTCTCGATCCATGCCTTACATATTATAAACTGCTCTCGATCCATTCCTGCACATTGTTATCAATCGCAAATCACTTCAACATATGGCTTCAAAGATCATATCTGGTGGCGTAGATGTAGGTTTAGTTGTATGCGACAGAGTACTAAAGTCAATCCGATCCGTATTTCTTGGTCCTGTGCAGCGGAGACGTCCATCACCATCGACGACATTGTGTATGTCATTGACAGCGGCAAATGTCGTGTGACCGAATACCTCACCGACATGCACATTCAGGCACTCGTTACTGCACTGATCAGCAAGGCCAACTGCCAACAGCGCAGGGGCCGTGCTGGCAGGTGTCAGCCTGGTGAGGTCTATAGGTGTGTGTGTATCACTATGTATGTTGTATCCTGAGCTATGGATAACTATGGATGACAATGAAGACGGTGTATTTAGGTTTGGTGGCCAGTTGTTCAAAATGTTGTTGTGGTGTTGTTATACATGCGTACCTACAGCCATCTGTGGCTGAACTGATCCGCAAGGCCAATTGCCAACAGCAGAGGGGGGCAGGGGTTCTTGGTAGGTGTCAGCCTAAAAGTGGTCTATAAATTTATTTATTATATCATACGCTCCATACCGAGGTATTGATATCTACGCAGTTTGTCTTTTAGTTTATTAGTATCATATTACATCGCGTAGTATATTGCTGTGGTATGTTTTTGGATGCACGCATACAGACATCTGATACTGCACCGATCAGCAGGGATAACTGTTAACAGCGGAGGGGTCGTACCAGCAGATGTCACAGCTTTTAGGTCGTACCAGCAGATGTCACAGCCAGTACGAGTCTACAGATGCTGTAGAATATCACATACGCAATGGTCATGAGGCAACTGGTGATAATGGACGTGTGAGTGCGGCACCAACCGACTGTTCTTTTCTGCTAAACTTTCTTTACCTCACCTTATTGATTGCCTTGCACAGATTGTACACGCGTTATAATCAGGAGGCGATGAAGGATATGATCGAGCCAGAGATGAGACGAACACCGGTAGAGGAACTGTGCTTGATGGTCAAGGTAAGTTCATTCCTTCAATCGCAGCTGTATGTTGAAAAGTCACATATTACATGATTATGTGGGAATGTGAATCGTAGTTACGTTAAGTTAACGTAAACGTTTACCTACGGCTGGTTTGACATCAGCCGGTGGCTGACGGCCAAGTGTGAGTCCTGGCGCTACTCAATTCCTAACGATTGATGTTTTGTGGACTCTAATGGTCACGTGTTACAACACACTTTTGGACTGACCATGAGCAACTCCCGCATTTCGCTTCTCTTATAAGATCTAAAGTATACCTCAGCAATCTTTCGTGAATGGATTTGCTCACTTGTTGATGCTTTGAACGCTTTTCATTCATGCGATGCCTATACTCTGTATTTGGTTCAAAGGTCAATATATGCAGTGTTGTCCTACCACGCATTTAGCTTGCATTGGATTCCTAACCTCACAGGTGCACAAACTAGGGCTGATCCGCCCGACACTTACCCGCGCACTGGATCCGCCAGAGCTGTCTACCGTCGACAACGCAGTGACCTTGCTGGAAGGCATAGGTGGGTTGTCGTTCAAAAAAAAAAATTTAAATGCAATGTTACCTTTGTAAATGTACAGTATGTGAACGCGGTCCCTGGTCTCGGGGCATTGTTAGTGACTATCACAAACACTTGTAGTGTCAGCTCCGATCTACTCACCTCTACTTAGTATTGTAGCACACCTTCTCGTGCTCTGTCTAATTCCCTGTTACCACATTCATTCCATTCTTATCTACGAAAAGGTGCACTTGACAAGGATGAGAATATGACCCACCTGGGTGAGAAACTGGCGTCGCTGCCATTGCATCCTCGTCTGGGCAGACTCATCCTGTATGGCCATCTCATGGGATGTCTCGATTGGGCCTGCATCGTGGCCGCATTCATTTCATACAAAAGCCCTTTTTTTGCGCCATTGGGTATGTTTGCCGATACCTCGCATGCCTTCTGCACCCCATGGGATACCTTTGTACCATTGCCCCTGCGTTCTACCACCAGTGCAAGACATCTGACGCGCGGCACTATGTAGGTGGTTGTGCCCACGGGAGACTCCGTTCGTTCGTGAACTCACTGAGTTTTTATTTGATTCGCTTACATTAATTTAATAGAGCTACACCCGCGTATTAACTCTATGAAGACGATGTTAGGGGTATTATCGGTCATTGCTTTTCCCTCATTGGCAACGGGGTTTCTTTTGCATACCCCTAACCCTCGCACCAATGACTGTCCCTGAATTGCAGGTCGTGAGTACGAGGCCAACATGGCGAAGGCTAGTTTAGCTGGTTTGTGCATGTCAGATCACATCACGCTTCTTAAGACCTACGCAACATGGCGTTCGCTTATGGGTGACCGACGTATGCAGAATAAGTTCTGCACCGAGCATTTCATTTCGCAGACTACCATGAAATTTGCACACAGCTTAGTAGGGGATATCAAGGCCATGTGCACGAAGTTAGGGTTGAGGGATGGGGGGGTTAGAAACGATGCCGTCTTCCGGTATGTCCCATACCTTCCGAAAGTATTGGTATCAGTAGCTTCTCCGCGACAGTCGGGAGTGTACGACCAAGGTTTTTGATATCGCATTGTATATCTGGCTCATCTACGGTAGTCTGCAGTTTATGTGCGATACTTTTGTCATCTTATTGTTTCTGTAGGTCACTGTCAAACGTGTGGTTGCTCTCTATTACTCACGTGAGCTCAGCCCACTCGATGACCTGTTTTGGATTCTAGGAGACATTTCGTATTTTACTGCTGCAATAGTTGAATATATCTTCGATTGTAATTCCTTGTCTATTTGCAACAACAAGAGATCCGTACTCTTATATAGTTGTGATGTAGTTGTGATGCATGCTTATTATGTTCCCGCGAGTGTGCTGAGAGTTTGGCTATTCATTGCATGTAACGATCGATGTTTGAATCAGATCTCATCTTGGAATCGACAGGTCCTACTTATGAGATTCGATAATTTGTTCCTGTATGGGTACCTAGCAAAGCCGTTGGTAGGAAGGTATCTGGTTTCCAACCTGTGTTCTAGAAGCTGTCAATAGTGAAGTACGAATTGCTGATATAGTACTGCGTCCAGAGAGTGAACCAACGATAGGCTTGACTCGAAATCTCTGCCTCGGAGTGATGCATACCGTAGCCGTTGTCTCATTTGAGCGAGGTATATGCTGAAGTAACGGTGTGTATACCCTTTGCCTTCCTACTAGAGCTGTGATGGGTATCGGCCTGTGGCCCAGCGTTGCAGCCAAGAACAGGAAATCCGTTTCCGCATACCTGGGGGATTCGCTTTCTCGTGTGGAGGTATGTAATTCTGCTTCTGAAGATTTGTGTGCTTTAGCTATCGAAGCCTAAGATCTCTACTGTATCAGCACAGTCCCTCACAACCACGCAACGTTTTCTAAGCACAGGGCTGAGTGACCGATTAAGCGTAGCTTAACATATTTTAAGTGATTTGTCAGAACATGATGCGCACTCATACTCTGTGCTTTAACACCTCCCAACCGTAGATACATCCAGGATCAGTGAACTTCAAGATCCCAAAAGAGATGAGAAGCGAAGCCATGACGGCATGGTACTCCTATTACCAGATTATGAGGACTGCAAAGACGTTTGTTTACGATTCCACACTCTTAGAACCGGCCATGACACTACTGTTGGCGCCTGACGTGAAAAGGTGCGTTCGTTATATTTCCTGACATCCTCTTGCACGTTCTCCCAACATCAAGTCACTGGTCCAGATATCATTGAGATCGATTGTCGGCTCAACGTTTGTGGCGCGCGGCGTTATACCGACTGTGTATCGGTGCAGTGCTTTCGAAAAACCCCGCATATTTAGTGAGAGTTTCTGGTGTGATCCATCAGCCACACCTGCCGTTGGAGCTATAGGCAGTCTCTGGTGTGGTGTACAGAGTCATTGTTAAGCATTTTTATTGTCACTTGTTCCATGCGCCCCTGTTACAAGTAGTTGCCCGCGAGGTCTTGTACTCTGTCAAGTACGGTCACAAATAGGCTAATCGTCACGCCCGTAGTGTTACAGCATTTTTCGTACTCCTTTCTCAATTCGCTACTCCATAAACTGATAGCCATCTACTCGTCCCTTGTGCCTCTCTAGGGTCTGCGAACGTGACGGGAGAGGAGTGTTCTATGAGATCGGCAACACAGAGCAGTCGGTGGTGATTCCTTCGCATGCCGAAGTAGATGTTCTGGAATTGCGGAAAGGTATTGCGGAGCTGTGTGACACTGCGATCGGTGCACCGGTGGATAGTCCAAAGCTTTTAGCGGCGTTTGATACCGTTCGCGATTTACTCGTGGCGCATTCTTTCAGCGCTGACAGACTTTCTGGTGAACCTTCGGGTGTGCGATCGAGCACATTTGATGATGGCGCTAAGTATAGGAATACTCAGAGAGGTGGCCACGGTGATAGTCGAGGTGGACGTACAGTTAGAGGTGGGTATAGGGGTACGAGCCGAAGCAACCAAGAACTGGATCGCTCACATACACGCCGACATGAAGGTTGGAATGGATACAGGAATAACAGCGCCAATCAATACGGATATGAACCTCCTGATCGATATGGCAGTAGGCGCAGGGCTGGCGGTAGAGATAGCGATGAGAGAGCTGATCACGAACGAGCGGGCAGCAATAGACAACGGCCATACCATTATCAAGGAACGCCAAGGTAGCGATCTGGAGGTAGGCGCAAGACCTGTAATGGGTGCAGCCAAGAGAAATTTATTAACGAACACGGCAAGGGGGTAGACAGTGGACGATGGCGAATATACTAAACAAAGTTTGGTAGGTCATAAGCAGGTTGTAGAGATGGCGATGAGCGAGTCGAGTCACAGTCTCCGAACGTATCTATATCCAGGAAATGGATGTTGGGGTATTTGTTGAAAACACATTGCTATTGATAGGTTTGAAGAGTGTCAGGGATAATGGGAACGAGATGATGGTAGCTGACCGCGGAGCACTCGATGCCAGAAGCTCGAAAAAGGCAATACGGCGGTAAGCACAATGCCTGCGGAAGAAGCAGCAAGATAGAACTGGTAATGCAGAGAGAAGAGCGCTGCCAGAGCGTTGAATTGGCTAAGTAGTATGCCCTGTGGAATTTGGGTCAGCACGCACTCCGTATCAGGCTCTTGCTTCCGCTTGCTACGTAAATTTAGTGGGACAATCTTATGCTATATGATTTTCTGGCCCCGGTAGTAGCCGATGTGTGTCCTCGCCGCCGATTCCAGAAGTAAGGTGCACAGTCAATGCGTTGCAGGGAGTCGTTCCCATCCGCTGGTCGGTTTACTTTTTGACTAGTTCGTTGTGGTTGCTAGGACTAGGACGGGTTGTTATTTTAGCTCTGCCTGCCTAGTAAGTACTGTATTGAAACCAAACATCACATCTACCAGAGAAGACACAATGGATGCAACCGATGGCGAAATCGATAGATGCGTTGCTGACACATCATGATGTGTTTTGGTGTTCGTAAGCTAGATGCACATATATGACATCTTTTGAATTTTTGTTATAATAGCCCACTTAGCGAAGCTCTGCCTACCATTTTGCCGGGTTGCTCTCTAGAGCTGTATTTGGCCTACTGGGAAGCCTGACATGTCGCTTTGGCATGAAGCGCTTTTGCATCGCCACCCGCTGAGCTGTAGCCTTCCTGTATCAGCAGAGAAGTACATGTGCTGGATACCGGGCGAGCACATTAAGCGTCAGTCTGGATAGTAATTTACCAACAAAGTCCACTGACTCTGTTGATTATCGCAGAGTACATCGTGATTTAATCACTGGAGAAGAATATGAACTGGGTTTTTGAGTTTTCAGTAGCTGTACGTTGAAAAAAATATCTCAATTCGTCACATGATGTGGATTTCGAGTATATTGGGGCTGAGGAATTTCATCGCTAGGAATACAAATACTCCTGTGCCTGCTTTTCTTGTGTACTTATAATTTGTCAAAAAATGTATGTTACGTATTTAACATCTAGTTCTGACCAGAACTACGAATTAAAAAATACACAAATTGCCCGCGCACGAATATGCCTTATCAGTGTATGTGCGCTAGTAAGCTGTAGAATTGTTGTCACTTGAGTTGATTTTCTATAAATTTGTGTTCTTCTCTTTTTTATATTTATAGGGCGTATAAAAGCAAAGTTTGCTAGTTGATGTACTTATAATTGCGTATTTACGAGATCAGCTCAAATACTACAGATATCGTTAGTTGAGTTCATCAAAATTTTGACTTCTGCAACACCATTCTCACGAATGATCCAAATATCTCCCGTCTCAACTACGATTGCCATGATTCCATTGGAATTCGTACTGAACTTCGGGTCGTGGAATTCTCCCCGTGCGTAATTACCTATGTTTAGCGACCCTGCTTCGAATCGCATGACACAGGGGACCCTGCTCATTTGATCACAAGCACCGTAAGCGCCCGTAAACTGCCCTACGTTTGCACCTCCAGCGTTATACAAGTGCAGTACGCCATCACTTGACAGATAAACCTTTGATCCGCACGGACCACTTAGAAAATCAAAAGCAAGATTAGCACGCATTGTCACACGGCCGTTCGGTCCAGGAAGAGTTGAATTTGGATTGTTATCTATGTATTCGGGACTCAAATAGCCAGTCACAGGGGTATCCGAAGAGACAGGGTCATTTGGCGAGCTTTCTGTGTCCGGGAACGTGGTCAGTGGCGTAATCGTATCTTGTTGGGATTGTATACTTCCATCATCATCTCCCAATTCAATCCCGCTGTCTGGATTTCGTTCGTTTGTCGGCTGATTCACCGTAATATATGGTACTGGAGTTCTGCTCGGCATTGGTCCCGTGTAGTATTGTACTGGAGTAAACTGGGGAACGTTGCTGTAAATCGGTGATGGTTGTGGTATTTGACGCCTCCTATTCGTTTGTGTGAAACGCTCATGTTGATCAAAAGTTATAGACTCCTTTTCGCCCGCTAGACCTCTACTTTCTATGGGTGCCGCTAGCGATTGTGAGGCGATGCTAAATAGCGCAATCAAAACGAAAAGTTTCATGATATATATTTACACCTGAGTATACGATGGGCTCCAATGAGGTTATATTATCGATTAGTGTTGATATGATGTAGAATCTAGATATCACATCTCACTTTATATGAAGACCTGATTTCCATATCATTTGTGACTTATCTATGTAGCGTCCTTCACATCTGGTATCTGAGACCTGAATTATGTCGCGTGCCCAATGGATTTCAAATACTATTCAAAGAAGAGTTGCCGGCCCGCGGCATCTTAATGGGTATAATGGGTCCTCTCTCTCTCGTAGAGTAGAGTCCCTACTGTACTACATACACAATACTACAATATAGAAAGAGATGAGTCGGGAGTCAGGCGCCACGGGCCACCAGCGGTCACACGGTGACCGGGGAGTCGGGGACCCGAGGACTGTTGGTATTATTGAAAATTTGTATACAAATTTGAAATTTGAAATCGAGTTACTCGTCAGTGGTTGAAATATATTTTTCAGAGTAAATTATATTTCATGAAATGTGTCCGAGATCCGAAACTTCGAAAGAGTAAACAAATAAATCACTGCTGGTGTTGTCGACTCTCTTCACTTTCTTGTCGACTTGTCGTCGGTGAGGAGACCAGTGGAGCTAAAAGCATAATATTATTGGGAGGTTTACTTATAGAAAAGTCAAAAGAGAAGTGTAAGGCCGAGCCGCAGAGATGCCCAAGGCCGAGAGTGTTCAAACTCTTCAAGGCGTTTTTTAAATTAAAAACCCCCCCCAAAAAAGGGGGACCATGACCCTCTGTCGGTCTGGCCTCTATGTCGTCTATGACCTGTAAGTAAATATCCATGGCCCTCTGAGTTGTCTGCGCTAAATCTACGATTTCGTCGTCGTGTGGAAGAAACCTGATTTCTGCTCGAAACCCAAATCCAGATTCCAGAGGTCCATGAAATATCATTGTGTACATTGAAGTCATAAATAGCAGTTGATTGTATGTATCTCAAACACGCCTGTGCCCGCTCTGGCTTTGGACAGTGTGGACTGTGGAGGAGGCCCTGTGCTAGACTGCTGTCATCCCTTCTGAAGTTTCAAAATTATTATTTCTTTGGGGAGCAATGTCAAAATTCAAATGGGTGCAAAGTGTTCGGCAAATGGGCATCACGGTAGGTCTATAATGTTTTACTCATTTCGTAATCCTCGATAAAACATACTTCACAGTTCACCGGTCACCTAGGCTCAATACGTTTTGCCTATATGCGATAAACTTTAAACGTAATCGCAAAAGGTTTTTTTTTCTTTAAAGCGTTTTAAAGTATATCGAGGGCAAATCAACCATGAAAATGTTCCAAATTTGCACCTGAGAAATTAACCTTGTTAATGAAAAGACGATTTGAAACTATTCACAACTGACACAAAGTGAAAAATAGGCCGCCTCAAAAAATGTACCTTTTTGTAAACCCATATGACTATATTGATAAACTTTGAGCGTAAACGCATATTTTTCTGTAAAAAAATTGCCTTTTAACGGGAAACGTAATTGTCCCTATCTCTCCTCTACTGCTGGTATCACATTGTCCTCTTGTATTGGGCCTTCCTATATTTTTGTACTGGGTTTCAAATGGGCAAATTAAGCATCACTTTCTTCCGTATTTAGCCGGCCCCGAGACTGCGGCGTTTTTTTCTGGCCTGCTACTCTGCTCTAGCGTTTTTTTTTTTAACAAACGATGTGTCGAGAACATCAGAAATTAGATTTTTTTTTGATCCCATATACGTCATGATTCTGACATGTAGGAAGTCGTATCGTTTACCAGCTACCAGCAGGCGATCTTTTATGACTTTTTTATATGTTTTTTATGTATGACTTGCCGAGATATTTTTGGATTTTCCTCTCTGTAGTAGACTCTAGTGGACAAATCGGTAAAAAAAAATACAATATATTGTACTATATTCTGTCGCATATTACTCACGTTACATACGTCGCAAACACTAAAAAAATAATTCATCGGAAAGCCCTTGACAAGGCCTAAAAAACAGTCTATGACATGTTATACTAGAAATCAATATTTCGTATCGAGCTTCAAAGTATTGGATTTATTGTAGTACAATATCTTGTATGTGTGCGGAAATCGGAACTATTGAAGCTATTATATATATATATATATATATATATATATATATATATATACTACGTAGTAGTAGTAGTATTAGTTACTTAGTTGTTCGTTCTTACTATAACTACTACGTACGTA